TCGTTTCGTAAATCGGCGTCAACGATGAATTTAAAATAGTAACTATAATAAAATTAGAATATAGGACTGTTCAAGTTAAACGTTTAATTATGTTTGAAGTAGGCTTGAAAAATATTAACTATAGTAATATATAAGTGTATAAGACAGTATATAAATAACTTATTATCTAATATTATTTAAACTTAAAAGAAACATCTAGTTATGTATAACATATTACCGTACTTAATCAGATGAATTTATGATAAACTAAAATAATATGTGATAAAATAAATATTTTAATTTAATTAAAACATTATGTCCATACGTGATCATTTTAAATTTTTATCYGTATAATAATAATATAATCTAATTCTAATAATTTTAGTACTATATAAATGTACCCAGGTACCTGATATTGTATAGGTATAGTCTACATTCTGACAAAATATATTAATATTATTATAATTATTTAAAAATTTAAGATTTTTATGAAGCAACAAATATATAATTATGTTGAAACACCTAGTAAATATTAGATAACACTATAATATTGGTTTTACACGATGTATAATTCGTTGTGATTATTTTTTAAATCATCATTATTACCTGCCATGGTATTTATTGATGAAACCTATGTAAACAATAACTTATAAACCATTTACAGAATTTCATTAATGCAAAACAGAATGAATATCGTAATACATAGATKACCTACCTATACTGGATAATAATTTATGAACTAGTATTTCCAATAGTTTATATAAAATTCCAATAATTAGAATAATTACGTATGATTATAATATTATATTATATTACCTACCAACGAGCTTATTACTTGTAACTTTTTTATTTATATATATATTTTTTTTTAATATATAGATCTCATTTTTTTCAATAACTTATTATATTTGAAGAAGTCGAGCAGAAACCACACAAATCTATTTTTCAAAACTTTTCAGAAAATAAAAATAAAAATTTTAATTTATGAAGCTACTTTGCAATTGTATTTTGACCAGAAATTAGTATTCATTATAATAACATTCTATTGAGCTATCTGGTTATTGACGTTATTGTCCAAAACATTAAAGAGCAGACAGCTCTAAATACGATATTATGTTTCCTGTAGCTACGGATTGTTGGATAACGGATAAGTAAAGTAAGTTCTTGTAAAGAATAAAGATATAATACTTACTTGTGACTTTTTTGTTCTTTACCAAATATTATCTATACCGGATTTGTCTTGTTTTTTGCACGGATTATTTCATTTTCATCGTGAGATGTTCTTTTATGATTTCTTTCCGTCATTAATATCTAATATTATTAAATATTAAATCAATAATCATATTATATAAAACATCTTGTACATAAAATGAGTAGGTACTCGAATGCCACAAAACTGTATCGTTGATATTTCCTAAAAAATAATAATATTATAATATTATAATATAATGATTTGAGTTAGAATCAAAATTATTTTTGTATAATTTACTGCCTACCTATATTGTGTAGCAATTAGGCTGATGAGAAGTGAGCTATTTCAATTACAAACGACGTGTGAGGTACGATCTGCACTCTGCAGTATGTGAGGGCCATATTTCATCGCTCAAGACTGAAATTGTTTTTCCACACGAGTCTCACATATCTGCCATCTTTTTGTCCCCCGAAAGATAAAGCCGTACACCCAGTTGTGCCGTGTAATTTAATTTTCTCAAAATGGCTAAACCATGTGGTCCATTAAGGTACTTACATGTATGGTTGATCGTTATATTATCAAACGATACCGCACATACCTAGTTGAATATTATATCATTAAAATTTTGGTCATGTGCCCGCGTGGTTGCAGTAAGTTATGTGCAGAAAAGTGGAAAGTAACTAAAAAAATAGTTTTAAAAAATGTCACCATCAGGTACAAAATTCATAACATTGGTATACCATATGAAAAACGCACGCACGGCACGAGCCACGAAAGCACACGATTGTTAAAAAAAACACGTCACGACACGGTGTAAGTGTTTATTTCCCTTATTAATGCAATGATATATGCAACAGCCAGACTATTCTAGTATTCGAATGCAACTAATGCAAAGGAGTTATTCAAGATTTTCAAGAAGAATTCGATACGTATCGATTGAAAATAGTTACGTACCTAGTACCAAGGTAGGTACTACCTACCCGGATCGAAGTCTAAGCTCGATACAGGCCGGTACGTATCGCTTGTATATTGAACGCGTAACATTCTTGAACACTCAAAATTAGAACGATACATAGGTATCGATACATTCCAATTTCTTTCTTGAAAATATTGATGCTCAAAATCATATGATGAATATAAGATATATAACCAAAAGTTTATAATTAGGTTTTGTATAAGAATCGTGGTATAGATTACTGTGTCTGGTTGTGAAGGGCCATATACCCAGCGCATTTGAGGATTTCCAGTTCATTGCCCAGCACTATGAAGATTCCCACTATATCTCCACCTGGGCGGAAAAATGTCGTTTTACAACGCTTCAACCGTAATCGAAAATCAACGATGAAAGGTACAATAATTATTGGTACATGTATCTACTTAATTTTAACAATTGCATAGGTATTTCTCATATTTATTTACCAATTACCATTATATTTATTAGTGATCTACTTTGAATTTGTGATTTTTAAATTTCTGTACTTCCTATATTTCTCATTTAATAATTAAAATAAAAATACTTTTTCAACTGAATAACTTTTTTGATAGTTCCGATATCGAAAAAATAAAAATGATACACCACAATTAAAGTTGTCATTTTTATGTGGTGAAAATTTAATTTCTTAATTATGCTTATAACTGTAGCTTTCTCGATATTTTTTCGCGCTAAACAGCTTTTGCAATGATTTAAATTAATTGTTAGACGGAGACAACATAGTACATAATAATTGGGTGTAGCATCCTTTTAAAAGTACCTACGTTATAACACTGGAAATTGCTGTCTCCGTCTTGCAAGCGCGTAACATGGCAAATTTACTCTCAGCAAATCACGTGCAGATTTGTTAGTTGAAAAATTAGATGAGCAAGTTGACCTCTTGTGAAAGTTGATCGTATGAACGCAGGATCTGTATTTGTAGATGTTTTTTTACGATGATTCAGTTTTTTAGGAAGTTATGAGCATTTTTAATTTATGTTATATTATATAGGTACGCATAGGCGGCACTTGGTAGAAACTTATGTGGGTGCAAACGTTTATGGTAATAACATTCACAAATCCATAGGGAAGTTGCCCCTCCAGTACACCCTAATGTATAACAACTATTACTACAACAAATTTAGTTAAAAAAATTCTTTATTAATAACTATTAATTAGGTCTCTGTATTTCAAATATGTACATGAATATGTAAAAATATTATTAAAAAACAACTTTTTATTTTGACATAAACAATATGATCTATTTTGAACCATATCGTTATCTAGTGACGAATTAGCTTCCCGCATTATTTAATTATTATCATATTATTATTATTATTATTTTAACATTTTATCACGGACTAAGATTTTAGTCCGTACAATTAATAATTGAGTAATCAGATATAAAATATTGAAATGATCCATGGTTATTTTTTATTATCAAAATTACATTATATCAGTATAATTGTTAACAATAAAATAATAAAATAATTTTTTAGTGTTGTGATTGTCTGTGTGTGGGTGTAAAATTATACTTTTGCCCCCCTCCCCCAGAAAAATTGTCGTGGGTGCAACTGCACCCTCATGCCCCCCCCTAGTTGCCGCCTATGTAGGTACGCAAAAGTTCATACAGCAAGACGTACAACATCCTCTAATGCTCATTATATGGTATAACACAACCCTCAGATTTTAAAACTTAATTTAAGCAGAGTATTGTGTTTGAAAAAAATGTATACCAGTTGTTTCTTTGTAAATGTCTGTTAAACCTGAGCTTGATAAACCATAATATTGTGATCCATCGTAGTAAAATACAACTACTGAACATCAATGGAATTGTAGTGCTCACAACTATTCGACCCATTTCTAAAAACTCGCAGATTATAAATATTAATTAATATCTAACTAGCTATCAATATAGATTAAGTAGTATAAAATAATTAGCAAAATTAAATCAAATGAATACGATGGTCTCCGATATATTGAGTTCCTATACACTCATTTGAAACTTGTTCATAATAATATAAAAATATCTTTGGGAGAATACTATAACTGCCACTTGCCAGGAAACTATCAAAGAGATTTTCTATAGTACCTACTA